CATGGACTGATTGTTGCACAGAAGAGTCAAGAGAATGCTTAAGGGCATAATCGATTGATTGAAGGCGTGTAAATTATAAATGTGTACCTACTAGCTAACTTGAATATTACATTATACAGAGGACACACCGGCAAGGGGACGATTCCCACCACCTTCAAAATTATTTTATTCAAATATTAAATAATACATAAAAATTATGGTAGGTAAATATTGTGTAGGTATTTAATATTAAAATAACAGTTATGTTGTAATCATAAAATAATTTGTTTTTTTAATAGTAAGCCATGTTTTTATTACTTTATGCTTCGCTATTTCTGTATTTTTTAAGTGTGTTTGGCTGAAACTCTCACAGTTACACAGATTAAATCAAGTCTACATATTTTTTCGTGAAAACTTTAGTGCATACTATACTTGCGTCTTATCAGATTTGATTTTATAGGTAAATTGCATCCTGATCAAAAAAGTCAAAAATAGGTCATAGCCTACTTACGCGACCCAGTATACCTTTTTTATAACCTAGTTGCATACCAAAATTGTCATTAGATAAGATTGATATCGTAACTCGTCCTACATTTCGGTCATATGCTGTTTATGAAAATATAAATTATTATTTCTAGTATTTTAGATTTTGACTTCTGAGCTGAGCGAAGAATGTATTGATTATACTATAATGTGTTTGTACAAATATTTGTTTATAATGTTTAGATGTATACAAGATAAGTGGTCAAAATCATGCTTTGAAAGCGAATCTAATTGGTACTTTTGAAAGGTCAAAATTGATATAGTTAGAAATATATCAACATTTTCTTTTTATATCGAAAATTTTTTTGTTTACATGAAAGTCAAATTCATTATTTATGAGGGTTTACCTTCAGCGTCTGTCTTTGCTCAGAATCGTTTTTTGTTTACAATGATTTTATATCATTATTGACCCCCCTAGTCACCAACAGTACAAGCAAAACGGGGCTAAAACTCATTTGCGAGTATTTACTTTTTTTGTAGTTGTTTTGTAGATATTGATCATATTCATATACAAATTACTAATATGGTAAAAAATAAACAATAAAATGTATATAGTTGTCAAATTAATGATCCTACACTATGGGTCATTAGGTCATTATCTTGGCAGGGGAGGGGGGGAGATTCCCAGTTATATTCGATGGAAAAATGAGACGCACGGGGAGGGGCTTCGGTCTTCACGAACTTCTTCGCACGTTACTACGATAAATTATTACCCAACATAATATAGGACATTTAAGTACCAACGTATTTGTTCTGAGATTATGTTTGAGGAATAGTAATTGAAATCAACCGAATGAATAGTGGAATAGCGCGGAGTATATAATGAGATTAATGAAGATATAGCGACTACAATTATAGAGGTTACTGATTTACTGTCACCGTGGTTGATGAATCTTTCTTTTTGTTTCAACGCATTAGTTAAGAAAAATTATTATGACGTATCGTATTTAATGATCAGTGACTACAAGCACTTGGATCACCGCTGTATGCCTGTTTAATATTATGTTTGAACAATTTCTACGGACTGTATTGACATTACAGTGACATAGGTTGTAGTGACATCTCCAGAATCAATAGAATCCTACGTAAGCTACTACTATAACTAAACAATTTAAAAAAGCATTCTTCAGACCTACTTCATGCCTGTATTATACTTGGTAGATACATATTATAAAAATGGTTTTTAATTTCGAATTAAATATATTATATTGGTACCACTGAGTACTGACTTACGGCAAATGACGGATATGAATATAAGAATATAGAATGATGTCGGGATACATTTAATCACAGCAATTAGTTGTAAATTATTAAAAACCTTTTATATTTGCGAATCAGTAGTTTGCCTATTGTGTAATCGTAGCATACTGCAGTAATTAAGTTATTGCTGCTGTAATTAGTTTTAGATTCTAAACTGGCCCATTAGAATCGTATATTGGTATGGTTCCACAAAGATGGGTTTTTTGTTTCTGCCATCGTCTTTAGGAAAGAAGCAGAAAAAATTCTCAGTTTTTTATGAAAAGATCAGTCTTTAACCTTGATGAAATAATATCCAATATTTTTCAAAATATTCGGGAAAAATTGTTTACATTTTTTTGTCTAGGTACGTCAAAAATCTTGAAAACGTAGTAGGTTTCTCAGAAGTCATAAGCAACTTTAAGCAACTAAAAAATATCGAAAATGTATTGGCAGTTTTTCTGTTGATATGATCCCGAGTATTTGCCAATTATTTTGGAGTTAAATGCATAAACATTTTATAGCTCAGATTTGAACATAGTTTACCATAAGTGCTTATTACAGAATTAAAAAAATATTAATGAAATTAGCTTTTTAACGAAATATAAGGAGTAAGAACTTTATACATTTATAATATTAGGTATAAGTTAATATATTATTAAATTACGTAATTACTAATAACTAGGCACGAAGATAAGACTTTACTTTGTTTTAAATACAGCACAGTATAAGACAGAGAAAACATTTTAACTGATACAGTTATACGCTATTTTAACGATAAATAAAATGAGATATCGATACACGTATATTATTATGAAGTATCTTTCAAAGCGTTTAAAATAAATAATACCTATGATAATATCGATTTTATATTTCGTAATAAAACTAATAATTATAGTATTATAGGCAGCTGTAACTATCGTGCCAGTTTGAGTATAATATTATAATCTTATGAAATACTGCGATAAATAAATTATGGTAGGTATTTATCATATAATCTCAAAGAAAAAAATTTCTAGCAATACTTTAAGCAGGGTATTACATTTGAGATATACCAAGTAATAATAAGTTATTGTACAGTCGATTTGTGTTCAGCATTTTTTTTCAGAACAATAGTTAATAACAGAATTGTCACAATGACAAATTATTGTTATCGCCACTATTGATAATTACAAATACCAGTAATAAATAATATAATATGGTATTTAAAACCAATGCTATTACTGAACATAATTTTATTGATAAAATTCGTTTTATATATTTTTATTTAATACATTAAATTACGGTTATCGTTTGTACCTAAAAAACTTACCGTTATAAATATAATAATTATTTACCTAAACATTAATTTAATTTATTTTATTTTAATGATAAAAGATTATTTTTGTTTTAGTAGTGACTAGTGACTAATAGTTAATGATGGAAAGTTAAATAATTAAAAGACGTAACAATGATATGAATAATAATACGCATACAGGAAAGTAGGCGTAGGTAAGTTAGTTTTTAATGAAAATTCATATTCCACCATTATAATAATTCGTTGTTTGTATAAGTATATCCCCATACAACTTACAAAAATTATAAAACTCAAAATAATAGTGTAAAATATTTTTATATGTATCTCATCATTATTTGTGCTATTTACAATTTACCAAGTTTTTTTTATGACATATTGTTAGTACAGACCTGGTCAGTACCTATTATTATTTCATAAACGTTTTTGCACAATTCATTTTAATTTATTTTGAATTTTCATATAATATAATATCATGTTTAAAAGTCAGTGACGTACACAGGAGGAGGCATCTGGGTCACGCCCCTCCTCCAAATGTCGGGTTTAATTAAACATTTTAACATAGCTTACTAATCATTAATATATATTAGTTGGTAAGTATATCAACTTTAAAAGAAATAATGTAATGACAAACATTAATGTTAATAGTATTAATGTTTTATAAATTAAAAGTTATGTTAAAATTGTTCGGGTATGAACGAGTTTATTCATAAGCGAGATATTCGAATATGTATATGGAGGAGGGAAAACTTTTTATATATATTATACTATAAAATACAAATAATAGGTAGCTAAATAACAATACAGAGTGAATGCGCTCCCTAACAAAAATGATATTGATAATGGTTTAGGGTAGTATATAATATATATACTAGTAATATATATATTATTATTTATGATATTTGGTACTCGAGGGAGACCATAATAATTCAGTGTTCATACCTAAACTGACTCATGCCGAAATTGTTACACATAATCATGGTCTGTTAAGTTTATCATTAATTAACATATAGTAACCATACCACTAAAAAACCAAACTAATAAATAAATTATTAGTTTGTATATGGCCAGTTTTAACTTTTGAATTAATCTTACAACATACTTCACACTTTCACAGTTAGGAGAATGACAGAGTACCTACTATTTGTTTTCTTTTTTTGACCAACGCGTATCACAGAAAATTTGTGTTCTGTAGAACCAATTACGTGTTATTAACTTTAATATTACAGATAATTTTCCTATAGTTAAATATAAATTTAGGAATATTATCTATGTTTGTACTTGAAATTTTAATATTTATGCAGATTACGAGTAAGTGAAAATTACGATTTAAAGACGCTCAAAGGTATAATTCAGAAAAATTGAAATATCATTAAAAAGTAAAAGTAAAAACACATATAATGTAACATTTAAGTCATATAGTATGGCGATTCATTGTCGTATAACAGGTAACAACACAAAACAATACTGGTTCTGTTGAACGCAAATTTGTGTGCGCGTGGGCCAGAGAGGGAAAACAAATAGTGCGCTAATACATAAACTACGTATAACTTTCAACGATACGAGTTTTAACCAAATAATATAGAATTGCAGTAGTTTTCCTTCCAAATGAAACTAGTCACTATTAAGAATTCAGTAATTGGCTACATCACCAACAAGGTTATACACGAGAGATTTGTTGTAATTAATAAATTACTATACGTTTCGTAAAATCTAATTATATGTTAATAATTGTTATTATATAATTAATAATCAAATAAAAAAATTGTTTGATACGACCACATTAAGCACTTTATTGGTCAACAGTGCATCATATAAATATTATATGAGGTATGTGATCTTATATTTATCACTAGTTAGTAGTTAATACATTTATAACAAATTCCTGGTCCAACAACTATTGATAGCGAATTGTTAAAATCCAAAATAAATGGGACTACTTGTATATTATATATATTATGATACAGGATTACTTTAATTTTTAGAGATGTAATTCAATTAATTTAATCTGAACAATTATAGAAATGTAAGATACTAATATGCTATAAGCTAGAGAAATTAAAATACAGAATACTAAAACTGATGGGTTATTAAGAGAAATTCATTGCTTTTTACGATAGGAAATAATCACCAAAAACCTCGATTTATTATCAATCGTTAAATTTTTAAAATTTAAAAACAAATCATATACGTCAGAGCACGAGGTACGCAAGACCAGTTTTATTCAAGGACAATGTAGTATAGAAGACACGTAGAGTTGACTTCCAGAGGTAGTCACACAAACGAGGTCGAACGGTGAACAGCCACTCTCTAATATGATGTACATATATGTAATATTAATCAAATAATTTAATATTTAGTTTAACTTGTGCGTTGTATACTTAACATTTTTAGTAAAAAAATCCGCAATATTTTAATTTTTTTTAAACAATAATGGAAACTTTAGAAAAATATTATAAAGTTACTGCTCAGCAAGAGTATGAAAAAAATCCACAATTATCTGCCACAGATGTAGAAGAACTTCTAAAATGGAGTGACGAAAATATAAATTTATATGGGAAATTGATTGGTGAGTGTCTTATTCAATTTAGAATATACACCGATTTTAATATATTATAATTATTTTTAACCTATATTTTAAACAAGTTTTTTTAAGTAAAGTCGTAATAAATCATCAAAAATTCATTGAAAAAATCTATAAAAAAAATCAATTTTTAACTATTAGGTTAAGGTCAACAACGAATTTTTTAACAGTAAACTTTAGGTGAGAAAAAAATCATACATAGCTTACATAATAAAAGTCTTTCCATTTTGTATACAATAATGTAATTAATATTTTATAGTACTCATGAATATTTTTTTATGTAAAACACATTTTTCCATATCATAACATTATGGCAAAATTGATATAATAACATTTTAACACGTACAATTTACCATAATGTACTCTACTAAATATTTCAAAGGAAATTTTAAACAACTATCACTTATTTTGTAATTTTAGTAAATACTATTTATGACACGTACTTATATTCATGTGTAATTTCGATTTAATCAGCGATTTCTTTTTTGAGTATTAGTTCGAATTTTCAATAATATAAAACTAAAAACCCTTGCACTGTTATTGCAAGCTTATTTTCTGTGAATATTTATTATGTATTTATGGTCCAGAAAACATAAATAAATCGCTAAATATTGTTTAATCTACTATACCTAGATATATTATTTTGCTTTTATCCTTTAAACAGGCATTAGATTTTTTTAATATTTCATATAAATACATAAATTAAAAAAAATTAACATATTATTTTCTACAGATCTTCAGATTATAATGTTTTTGCACGCATGTAACTACGATAAAGAATATACGAAAAAGGTAATACGTCAGTGCTATAATTTAAGGGCTAAGAAGTGCACTCCCTTTTTTTCGGCAAGAGACCCTGCACATCCTTTCAATCAAAAACAATTGGATGTTGTGTAAGCATGTATAAATATAATTGTTTTACGTGAACTGTTTTATTTTTGTAATTTATACGAATAATAATCAAAATGCGTTTGTTCAGTAATATAAACATAATTCCGGACGAAGAAAATTGCTACAGTTATATATGGTCACAGTTAAAAATCGTGGATGCATCACAATATTATCCCACTGTGGCGTCTAAACTAACTTTTATGGCAATCGAACTCGATCAAGTTGAATGTGGTACTAAGTCGGGGTACAGAATGGTACTGGATTCGAATCATTTTAGCTTAAGTCATGCATTACGTTACTCCCTATCAAACGCAAGAAATTTAATGTTATACGTTCAGGTAAAATTCGACTGATTTTTTTTAAGCACACTACCAGACACCACAATATACCTGTAAAACGTATACATATATTTTTTAGGAAGGTACACCTTTTGTGATTGATAAAATTTATATTCTCAACGTCACCTCGGGAACTGAAAGAGTATTCTCAACGATGAAACCGTTCATGAGCTCTTCATTAATAAATAAAGTAAAATATACACCTTACCTAATATACAATAATTTTGTATGACAATACAATTTTTTATTGCAGGTTATAATAAAATCAGTTTCAAAGACTAGTGAATTTATAAAAACATTGCCACAAACAGTCGTGCCTAAGGACTATGGTGGTCTTGCGCCAATTATGAGCGAAACCAATGGTAAATTCAAGTTTGCATAAATAGTGAGGACATTTTTGATTGACATATATTGTTTTATATTTACAGAAATCTTAAAACAAAAATTATTGGATAATCGCGATTACTTTTTGGATGAAGAAAAATTTAGAAATGGTAGTGTTAAAGATGAAGTAGACACAACAGTTGGCGAAGATGACAAGGATGAAATACATTCTTTTAAAAATTTAAGCATTGATTAAACTTATTTCAAATAAATATTTTTCTAACTTAATTATTTCTTTCAAACAATTTAAATCCATAGGTACCATAAAAGATATTGTAACTTATTATTGATCACAATGTTTTATTGTTTCAATGAACATTTAGCTGTTATGTTATTATTTATTGTAATGCATTTTTATATTGTAACAAAAGGGGTCTCAAATTTATAAATTGAGGAGGTTAAGTGTCATTTAACTATATTTTTTTAAAAATTTTTGTTTAAATAAAAAAAAATAATAATAATAATTACGAATCTTTATTCCAAACTTTAATAAAAATGAAATATTACGTTATTTCATAATAATTGTATTCAATATTGAATGTACATAAAATATGTACTTGGAGATAGTATGAGAGGCAAATTCAACCAGATAGAAATAATACAAATATACACAAAATGAAAAATACAATAATTATGAAATTGTTTTGAAAAAATTGAATTTAATTAAAACATTTCTGCCCACATTTGATTTTGAGAGACCTTATATTTTGGTGCACTAAGCAGGATTGGTATTTATCCACTAGTGGGTAGCATTGTTGAGCTCAATGACATAGTTATGGAAAACATAAAGAGTATAACAAATATACATAAATACATACAGGAAAATGTAACCTAACCTAATCTTACTTCACACATTTTTACAATCAATTTTTTTCCAATCTTATAAGTTTTCAAAATAAAAAGTTTTAAAAATCAAAATATACCAACATATTTATGAATATTTAATATGATAATTATCATCCATAATTATTCATAAATATGTTGGTATATTTTGATTTTTAGAAAATATAATTTTATAATAATCATATTAAATATTCTTAATAATCAAACATTCATAAAATGATTTATATACATCTAGTTAATTACAGCAAACATAATAGCAATTCAAAAATTAAACTCTTTACTCAAAGAATTAAACGTCTTTGATGAGTAGACAAAAAATATTCCAAAACCTTAGGTTTTATCTGGTTCATAAAATAATTTAAACATCTATTTCTAATAATTTCTTAATATAATCGACAATCTCAGCCAAATAAAAGTAAATACCTCCTACATTATTTTTTTATACATTGGTGTGTCGTGAAATAGTATATAGATTTTAATGTTTATATGATATTCATCAATTAACTACTGGTAGATAAAACATTATGCTTATACTTTTTTAATTTATACCAAGTTACTTATACAAATTTTAAGTAATAAAAAGATTTTTCTCTAATTTTAGCTGAAAATTTGATATGATATTGTAGTATTGTGGTAAAAAATAAAATGACCACTTTTTTAACCTAATGTGTCGCACTAGTATATCAGTATATAAAATGCCCTCAATCGCATTGTGATCTTTTTGACTGCATTATAATTTTTAAGTATAAAAGACGTGTATTTTATTTTTATTATTGAAATGAAACTTTATTAGGGAGGGTATACACAAAAATGTACTCACCATGCACATTTTTTTGTATTCTATTAAAACAAATTAATATTTTTTACAATGACAAAAAATGAACTGTTACAAGAAGTTACTCCTTTATACATCAAATGGATAATATTTATAAAAAATAGGAATATGTGAATTTATTTAAATTTGTAGGTATATTATGAATAGTATCTCATTAATTCTATAATTTAATGTATTGAGAATAGTATTATATTATTTTTTAAAGTTATATTGAGTATCAATGTTTATAATGTAAAATATATTAAAAAGAGTACAGTTGTTTTGAACACGGAGCGATTGACTGCGGATTAAATGGGTTAAATGATTTAATAATATGAATTTAACATAAATGTACTTACTATTAGATTGTTCTGTAGATGGATCCATTATTTTACTAGGTAACTTTGATAAAACTTCAAGAGCAAGTGCAGGACATCCTGCTTTAAAATGAGCATGTGCAGTTTTGAAATATAGTTGTCTTTCTAATGGAGAAATTGAATCTTCTAACATTAACTGAAAAAATGGCACATATCAACATCAAATTTCAAATTCAAATGAAGTTTTTTAATTACTTGTCGATCAGAAGTTTCTCTACATCTAGCATCAGAACCGTAGCTAAAACCAGCTAATACTACAGTATGATTCTTTTTATCTTGATAAGTGGATGCCAAATAGTGTCTTATCAGTAATGGATGGGTACGAAGATAAACATAGAAATTGAACACATTTGGATTCGCTACAAATAATATGTATATATTATATATAATAATGAATGAAATATTTTTAGAAATATTTATTGTACTTAAAACTTTTGAACATACCAGCTGAAGTTTCTTGTTTTTCCTCGTCATTATATTGTGGATGCATTGTACCTACATTCATTTGAACTAATGTATTAAGACTTCCAGTAGAATCTTTAAGTATCCAAAGCGCCATAGAACGTAAGAATGGGTCAGGATTAGCCATAGATAATTTTTGATTTTCACCATTTTGATCACAACCAAGTATTTCCTACAAAATGTAAGTTAAATTAAGAATGAACATAATTCAGTTAATCAGCTAATCAGTGTTTTAATTAACAATAAAAATGCATTCAGTTAGTTGGAAATATACCTCATATAAAAGCCGTTTAAGACTGGGTGGTGTAGAATCAATTTCACCTTCATATAACCGAGCTATCACCATAGCTAATTGTAAGTCATCTAATTTATTTAAGCATACCTAAATAACAAGTTTTATAATAAAATTATGTATATTTAAATATTTAATGCATTTTAAAATATGAAATAATTACTTCAATTGCATCTCTAAGAGCTCCAGCTAAAAGGAAAAATGCAGCAGCGTGTTCAAATCGTTGTTTTCCAAGTAATGCAAATGCATTTTTAAGTGCTGCCTTTCGCCAACGATCTTCAGCAAAGTTATTGGAAAAAAATTGAGTCATTCGCTCATCTCTTTTAGACCTAAATAATCCCCAAACTAAAGACTTCTTTTTCATAGCAAGATAAAATATAGCAGCATCTAAAGGATCTTGGTTTGTCTGATATGCTGCTTTTGCAATCTAAGACAAATTTTATTTTAATCAATAACAATTAGTTTTAAACTAATATCTTGAAACAAAAACTTACTTTCTCAATACACGTTCTCAATAATGTTTGATTTCTGAGCCACCACCCAACACCTAATTCTTTTAATGCTGACCAACGTGGAGTACCTCGGACATAAGAAGGTGTTAATTGTAATAGTTCTTCTTCGCTTTCAGAGTGGAATGCCCATGCAATATCTGCTGAACACATACCTCTTTTTTGAAATTGAGTACGCTGAGCTACACCCAAACATCTTAATAAATAATTGTAATGCTTCATGGCCAACAAAAATCTAAGACCACAGTCATCCAATGAATCTAAAATTTTGATAATAATAATTAATTTGTATACCATAAACTTTGTCTCTCGCAAACTAACCTGAACACACTTCACCTTCATGTGGAGCTGAACTATCTTTAGCAAATTGTGTTTTATCAACAAACCTATCAGCAAAATCTGTGTTACATGTAGATACAGTATCGGCAAGGGCTAGCAAGTGCATTTGATCTAAACTTGATAAACCAGGCAAATGTGTATGAGTTAACAAACGAGACAAGAGTTGACCTTGTTTTGGCCCAAAATGAGAAAGTAGACATTGTTGTTTTTCAGTTGCATTAGATTGTCGCTCACACCTACGAGGGCTTTCTGGTTCTGATTCATCATTCAATATGTCATCCAGATTGTCTTCTGATGTTGAAATGTTTCCATTAAATAATTCGTTATAATCTTTTTCATCTTCAGCTAACTTAAGAGCAGTACTGGCATTTTCTTTATCAGCAGCCAATAGTGTCCATAAAGGTAAAGGCGGAATTGAAGTGATTTCTGCATAATCCAACATCAGTTCCTCTGGAATTGCTGTAGTGGATCCTCTGGGTTCCATTGGACTTGTAGCTAATAATGATAATAATAATATTTATAAACAAATTAATACCATCAAAATATTTTTATTATGTATCTTACCAGCTCCAGCATAGCTCACAGATAATGTTCTTGATCTTGACCACCCTCTTTGACGAGTTAAATTATCTTCTTCTGAATATGAACACACAACAGCACCTTGTCTTACACTGCATGTTGTTGAAATACACCTACAAATGTTTTTAATTTCATATTTGTAAAATAAAATGTATAATAATTTTTAGCTAATATGTTTGACTTACCGGACAAGATGTGCAAGAATCGCTTTCACCCAACGAATTTTTCCAGAATTCAAGAGTTCCATTAGTTGTTTAGGGTGATATTGAGGAAGAACTGGACATGCTATACGACTAGCTTCAAATAGTCCATAATCTGGCATATAAGAATCTTGAATATTATTTGAAGAGTCCCCATTCTGAATACCCAATTTCTTTTTTTTTGTCTCAGCAGTTAACATATTTAAATTGATTGAGCTAACACGAGACAAATGAGGCATTGAACTTACATTAGCCAGTCTTCTTTGGGATGTTTCCTATGTATGATAACAATACAAAATAAAATACTTTTTTTAGTTATTTATTAATTAAATATGTGAAATTACATGTGCCAATGTTCTAAGATCTTCATCTCTTAGATTTCTAGTATCTTGAAGCTCATCAGATTCTTGATGTATTAACTTGCAACACAACAAAGCATTCTTTTGTATCACATCTAAAAGTAGTTTACATTTAAGTCATACATTAAATTATTACTTAAATAGCTTAAGATATTGTTGATACATAATTCTCTAAACTACTTACATGTATTTGGTTTCCATTGTGAATATACATGCATTTCACTGTCCATGCCGACAACTAATATACCATCACGAACCCAAGATATTTGCATTGGAAGTGGAGGCAAACCATCTGCTGTAGTAAGATCAATTTTTCTGAGTTTCATCCATCTAAAAAATTTAATTTAGGTAATCAATATAATATTAATCATTATATCTTTGATAAACATGCATTACATATTGCATATGATGTTTACTTAATGACATTTGGCATTGAAGTGATAAATATGATATC